GAGATTCATGTGTAAAATAAATTTGAACCATAATATGATAATTTTAATGATTGTTTCAAAAAGTTACTAATTTAGTCTGTTCCCAAACGAGACCTAAACAGTTGAAAAAAAAAAAAAAAAAAAAAAAACAAATTTGAGTTTTTTAGATTAAGTTTTTTAAAAATTGAGTTTTTTTGGTTTTCATATTTTTTTGTTTTTAGTGAATATTTTTTAATTTTAAACATTTTTTTTTTACTTTTTTAGATACACCTTACTTAAATGTATCAAAAAAGTAAAAAAATTGTGAAAAAATATTTTAAAAAATTAATAAATACATAAAAATATAAAAAATATATACTGAATTCTCATATTTTATTTGTATTTTTGGTATTTAGTGAATTTTTAAAAGATTTTTTTCACAATTTTTTTACTTTTTAGGTATATTTATGTTGGGTATGTCTAAAAATTTTAAAATATTTTTAAAAATTCAGTAAAAAGAAAAAAAAATAAGAAAGTAGAATTTTTTAAAAAGTATTTTTGAAAAACTCTAACCAAACAAAGTGATAATTTTACAGATGCTTATTGGTTAGTTTTGGTATTAGAGGTGGGATCACCTCATGGAGCAAACGACAAAAAAATTGAATATTGTTCAAATCTTTGGGGAAAAAAAAAGGTGTATTGTTCACTTGTGTGAACACATTTGTTCTTCCATAAACGACAGAAGGAATTGAAAAAAAAAATTAGAAGTTTTAAATTAAGAGTTTTAATAGTTTTAATTGGTGTATGAGTTTCATGTGATGTGATATTTTAGTCTTAATTTTTCTTATTATTTTATTTTTTACATCATTAATACTCTTTTAAAGTTTTCAAATTAGAAGAATATATCGTTTTTGCAAAGAAGCCACTAAAGTATATTTTTCTTGACGTATATTAGGGGTCCCCACCATAAAAGCTTTTCACATTTTGGTGATATTTTAAAAAAAACAATTATAAATTAACAATAAATTTAAAAACATGATTTTTTTAATATATATAATTATTTTTTAAAAGTAACACTGGAGTGTGATTATCCCTTCAACAAATATATATATATATCATTTTAAGTCAAAGCAAAGTCATATGCAACGGAGAGATCTGAGTTTTCGCGACAAAAAACAACCATATTTGTTTTTATCTTATTTATCAAAATAATCTTGTATTATGTTAAATTCTTTTAATTTAAGAAAATTTATTTATAAATCCTACGGAGAATGTTGATCTATTTAGTTCTAAAAGTTTTTTATGAATCAATTAGTCCTTTATGTTTTGAAAAGTTATATTTATTTGATTTTGTGATATTTGAATTTAAATGAATTCCCTTTTGTGATTTATTTTTTTAATTTTCTGATTCATTTTTGGGGTGAGAATGGAAATGTGAGATATGAAATATTCTTTTTGGAGAGATTGGTGACTGAAGTATTAGTTGTCGAGTGTAAAAATTAACATTTTTGTTAGTTTGCTTTTTTGGTGTTATATTCGAATGTTACATCAGAGTGTTATGTTTAGAAAAAAAATACACTAAGAAGCTTTTGTGTATTATATTGATTGGAGTGTTACGTTTTTAAAAAATATATTAAGGTTTATAATGTTACGTTGTTACGTTTGAGAAAAATACACTAAAGAATTTTTTTTGTGTTACATTGGAGTATTACGTTTGAAAAAAAACACACTAAGAAATTTTTGAAGGCCAAAATTTATGGACAATTATTTTTTAGGGACAAAATATTTTTGTTACGAAAAGTGTCGTCATTATTTTTTTAGCAAAAAAATTAGACATTAGTGATGAATTATTATCTTTTTGGGACCAATTTTTTTTATCTAAAAAAATAAACTATTTTTAGACGAAATTATTTTCTCCCTAAAAGTCTATTTCTATTAGTGACATTTTTAAAATTTTATCCCTGAAAGCCTTGTTTTTAACTTTTCGGGACGGCTTTTTAGCGATTATCTTCACAACAATAGAAATTGATTCTTAAATATCTTTTGAAACAACATTTTCACTTTTAGAGACAAAAAAATTTAGTCTTTAAAATTCTTATTTGTTGTAGTGTAAGTAGTTCTTTTAGAATGTTATGTTATTACGTTTAAGAAAACTAAGCTAAGAATTTTTTTAATATGTTACATTGGATTGTTGTGTTTTTGGAGTATTACATTTAGGAAAGTAAACTAACTAGTTTTTTTTTGAAGTATTACGTTTAGTAATTTTAACATTATTAGAAAACTCATAATTGTCCCTCAATACATAACACACTCGCGGTTATACTTGACCCTTTTATGTAATTCACACTATAATAGAACCAGACAGTTCATAAAATCACTATTTAAGATTTACTAGTACTTCACCCTTTAATTTATTTGATATTTCAATGGACAATTTTCGTATCATCAACAGCCAACATTAACTTAAGAATAAAGCAATATGCACCAAATTAGTATATCAATTAGTGTATTAACGGATGAAATGACATCATTCTAAAAGCTTTAGGTCTTTGTAATTTAAAGTGACAATCTCAAAATATATGTTGATACACTAATTGATAGATATATCAATTAATAAGTGTAACACCACTGCTAACTTAATTATTTTTTTCCCTCAACATCGCTCTACTTTTCGAGACATACAATAAGTGAGTTTTAAGAGAAAAATGTTTCTCTCATTTTCTTGAGGAAATATCATTTTTCTCCCCAAACTATTACGCGTTTTTCATGTTGACCCCAATACTTCGATTTATTTCAATTTAGTACCTAAACTTTTCACAAATTGATCAATTAGACTCATGCCGTCACCTTCCGTCCACAATTGGACGGAATGTGCTGATGTGGGGAGCAAATTGATTTTTAAATTGTAGTTTGGGGGCCAAATTGATTTTTAATTTAGGAGGTAAATTGATTTTTAAGGTATAGTTTGGGAGTTAAAATGAAATTTTAAATGCCACGTCAGCACATTCTGTCCAATTGTAGAAAAAATGTGACGACATGGGTCTAATTGATCAATTTGTGGAAAGTTCAAGTACTAAATTAAAATAAATCGAAATATGGGGGTCAACATGAAAAACGCGTGATAATTTGAGGGGCAAAATGATATTTTCTCTATTTTCTTTTCATTTCATTCCATTTATGCATATTACTATTAATTTGGGCAACAAACAGCATGGATATATATAGTAGATCAAAAATAAAAGAAATTTTCATTAGTAATGATAATAAAATCCGAGCACATAGGATAAGATAGGTCTATCATTAATCAATAAGTTCCACAAGAAATGACATAATTAAAATTCATGGCACTTGGCTACCCCTACAAATTCTGTCATGCAATGTGCCAATTCCCTTCTCTGCAAACCAAATAAGCCAGATTAGATATTAAAATTCTAAACTAGAAACATATAGATGACAAAAATTAGAAATGATTCAAGTTACAAGTTGACTTTAACACCAAAATAAGACACTCCATTGTGATCAAAATGTGAAAAATTCAAACACTAACATTGCAATTCACCTCATGCCTTAGGTTGTCCCATGAAAATGATAAGGTTTTTGCTTAGGCTTCTTTGTGACGACAAGGTTGTTGAGAACACTTGTTAAAACTGTTGTAGTGATCAAAGATGCCTTCAACAAGTTCAATGCCTACATAAATCAAATTAAGACTCTTACAACCATTTTATTTATTTATTTTTCATTTCCTCACAAAATTCATGGTTTTAATGAGTTCAACAACTACAACTAACCTTGTGCTTGTCGATTTTTATCACTTGCTCCTCAACATCATGAATTGAAACATCCAACTACTTTAGATAAGAGATGCTTGAAGTTGTACCAGATGATGGAATCAATACCAAATCATTAGATACTAAGAATGCAGCCGGTCTTTTCACAAATTCACAGAACCTTGTTTCCAATCTAGGGCATTTCAGGTCAATTAAGGTTAAAGGTTTGCAAGAGGGACAAGGGAAAAATGTCAAAGAACAAAAATAGCCATTTTTTGTTTCTTCATTGTAACAATAATAACTTGGACTTCTTTCCTCAAGTTCAAATGGTTGGCTAGAGCAACTGAATTTCAGAGCAAGCCCAGGGTTGAGTAATAGGAAATTCAAGCGAGGTTCAACAAGGCTCCATGTTACTCTACTTGTCACAAACCACTTACCCTCCAAATGTTGTACGCTGTTGTACAAGTTATCTATGCATCCCAATGAAGAATCCCTACCCAAACAATTAACTACATTTGCTAGTGGAATTGTGAGGAAGCTGAAGAGAAGATCAACAAAATCTTCCATGGCCTCGGCACACAATGCCTTTCCATCAGACTTTCTTACCAAAATCTTCACTCTCATAGCTGCAATGGTTGCTTTTTTTTTCCAGCTATGTTGTAAGACAGTAATTGATGATTTCTTGGCTCGAGTGATGTGCCCTTGTAGATTAATCTTTGATTTGGCAAAAATCGATCCGTCAAAGGGGACTTGGAAACCAAAGATTGCTTGAGCAGATTCAAAATCTTAACATAAAAAATAAAAAAGAAAAGAAAAGCATATAGTAATTAGGACCAACAGTAGCAAAAATATGCGTTTATATACAAATAGAAAAATATATGCTAATAGTTCTGGTTAGCTCCAATAGTATCAATATTGTCCCTTAATTTTTGTTTTTACATTTTGCCAATTTAGTCCAACTCATACTATTTATTAAGAAATGGTCCATTCAAAACCATTTCAAATTGGACACCCTCGATTACTTTGAGAAGAGTGAATAAATCATTTTGACCCATAATTTTAGCCAATTTCTATATAAATGTTATCAGCTCAATTACATTAATTAGACTACATTGACATAATGCAAAAAACTGATAATTAATTCAATATACATATTTTAAATTCTCAACACCTTTATAAATTTGTAGCATTGTAGACATAGATATATGAATGTTATAATTATGTTAGGAATTACCTCCACTGATCCAACCATCACAACCCTTTCCTTGAGACGATTTACGCTTTTGATGCCAAGATTGCCAAGCAATTCAACAAGAGCCCAGGTGTGCTAGCCATTACTCTGAGATCATCACTAACAATATAAGTTGATGATCCCTGCACAAACAGCCCATCACCATCTCTATGTTCTTCCATTGCATTTGCATTATTTGCATTACATACATACAATTTTTCTGTTCATCAACTTCCCACATCTACATTTTGCATTTACATAATTACTCAACAACCTCTTCTTCAAAATGCATGATAAATCAGAACAAGTGAAGTACTTGGTGGTCTTTGTGTCATTGACATTCACTTTCAAGTTCTTGCAAAATGCTTCTAATGGAGTTCTTGGATAGAGCAACATGTCTTTGCAAGCATTGGTCCAGAAATTGGATGTGTTAAGATTTTCTATGCTTTGGTACAAGTTGCTGATGCAGCCAAGCTCTGATCGATGCTTGCGAATGAGTCGGACAATGGTGCCCATTGGTAATGTCAGGAAACCAAAGAGTATGTCGATGAAATCGTTACTGGTTTCTGCACAAACTACTCTCTTCTTGTCTTCATCTACCAGAATTCTCAGAGAAACTGTGGCATTTGGATTGGCAGCCATTGTGATCACAACAATTCAAAAAGTGGATTTTTGTAAATTTGAATTGGGTTGGATTCAGATGTGTCTTTCTCTATTAATATATTGGTGGTGTTACATGTATCAATAAATGTATACATTAGTGTTCCAACTATGTTATATCATTATTACTGACCCTACCTATTATACAAATTATAAATATCTAAATTTTTTTAAATTATGTTATATTATCTGTTAGTATGCTAGTTAGTACATTAATTAATATATATAGTATTATTCATTAATATATAGTACCAATAAACAGAGATAGAAGAAGCTAAATACATGGGTTGTGGAAAATTATTGGAATTTGTTGATGGGTTGGAAGATGACAGCCCAAGGAAATATAGGCTCGTTTATTTAGAAGGGGCTATTTAACTCCTCACTAAAGCCTTGTTTGGGAATAGTTAAATTGATCGAGAATCAAAAAAATACTACGACATTCACTTTCAAGTTCTTGCAAAATGCTTCTAATGGAGTTCTTGGATAGAGCAACATGTCTTTGCAAGCATTGGTCCAGAAATTGGATGTGTTAAGATTTTCTATGCTTTGGTACAAGTTGCTGATGCAGCCAAGCTCTGATCGATGCTTGCGAATGAGTCGGACAATGGTGCCCATTGGTAATGTCAGGAAACCAAAGAGTATGTCGATGAAATCGTTACTGGTTTCTGCACAAACTACTCTCTTCTTGTCTTCATCTACCAGAATTCTCAGAGAAACTGTGGCATTTGGATTGGCAGCCATTGTGATCACAACAATTCAAAAAGTGGATTTTGTAAATTTGAATTGGGTTGGATTCAGATGTGTCTTTCTCTATTAATATATTGGTGGTGCTACATGTATACACTAGTGTTCCAACTATGTTATGTCATTATTACTGACCCTACCTATTATACAAATTACAATATCTAAAACTTTTTAAATTATGTTATATCATCTGTTAGTATACTAATTAGTACATTAATTAGTACATATAGTATTATTCATTAATATATATTACCAATAAACAGAGATAGAAGAAGCTAAATACATGGGTTGTGGAAAATTATTGGAATTTGTTGATGGGTTGGAAGATGACAGCCCAAGGGTCAATATAGGCTCGTTTATTTAGAAGGGGCTATTTAACTCCTCACTAAAGCCTTGTTTGGGAATAGTTAAATTGATCGAGAGTCAAAAAAATATTACAAAAAGTCAACTAACTCGGTGATACTACCTGTATTAATTGGTATATCAATTAATGTACCAACATATGTTATAACATTATTATTTCAAAGTTATGACCCCACCTATTATACAAATTATAAAGATTCAAAATCTCTAAAATTATGTCACATCACCCATTAGCATATCATATAACATTTTTCCAATTGAATCTCTTTGCTCTATTACATATTTTTTTGTAAAAAATTAAAAAGTTACTAAAAATCCAAATTCTTAAATAAACCCTAAACTTATTTGCTAGTTGCTTGAAACTTGAGAGAATTATCATCTAGTTACTTGAAACTTAAGAGAATTACATCTTATCTTTTACCTGTGTAATAATCTTCAACAAAAACTAATCACATTGTGTAATGCTCTACAAGCCAAAAAAAAAAAAAATACAAAATAAATGTTCCATTCATACGAAAAATAAATAAATAAATAAATTATAAGCATGATGATGTGACAATATCACTTTTGTAAATAAACTCAAGTGATCTATTTTGAAATGAAAGAGTTATATTGAACCCCATCATTTTTTATGAAAATTTTGTATAAATTTTTGGTTTATCAATATTATTGAGAATATATAGGATATTAGATTGTATGAAAGTTGATTTTGATAGACTTTTGTAAAACTAAAAATCCGATATAATAACTTTGATAATGATTTTTTAAATGACATCATTGAGTGAAAGTTAGGAGATTTACCAATAAATCTCAAATGTTAAACTTATGAACCAATTGGTCCCAATTTTTTTCTAATAAACCATTTAGTCCTTGGATATTTTGAGGGACTTTAATGCCCTCATTTAGATGTTATTAGATGCATGTTCTTTATGAGGGTGTGTCACGTGACACACACAATATTGTTAATGTGTGACACCCATTGTGTGGAGATAACATCTAAACTACACGGGTGACCATCTAGAGAAAAAATATGTATAGGCAAATGCTCCATTATATCAAAAAAACTCGGAGGAAATATTTTCTCTAGATGGAAATATTTATTACACTAGCCGTGTAGTTTTATTACCAACGGTACAACGCCCTTGCTAAAACTCTTTATTTGCGACGGTTTAATCTACCGTCGCAAAAGATCATTTTTTGCGACGGGAAACGTGCCGTCGCAAAAGCTTCTGTGTTTTATACTCTCTTTTCTTATAGTGAAAATATTTCCTCCGAGTTTTTTTGATATAATGGAGCACTTGCCTACACATCTAGCTGATGAAGCATTATTTGGTGGAGCGATTTAGTTTCGATGGATGTATCTAATTGAGAGGTATCTTCTTACTTTAAAGCAATACGTGTGTAATAGAGCTCATCCTGAAGGATCAATTGCTAAAGGATATCTTATGGAAGAATGAATGAATTTTTGTGCACAATATCTCAATGATGTGAAAACCAAATCCAGTCGACCCGTGAGGAACTATAGTGGTGCTGATAATCTGGGTCATGCTATTGGTGAAAACACAAGCTTTTATCTTGATAATACGTCTTGGGTACAAGCTCATCGGTATATCTTATTCAATACAAGCGCAGTTCAACCATTCATAAAGTAGGTTAAGTCATTCACTCAATATTTTATTATGTTTTATTGAATTTTCAACCAAATTTTTGTATTGATAAATTTTCAATCTACACAGCAAACACCTTGAAGTACTTAAGCTCAAAATGCCTAGTGTCGATGATCATCGGCTTCGGCGTGAACATTTTGAAACTTTTCCCATTTGGTTCAAGGAACATGCATGTATTTAAGTCTATAGATTCTAGTTACTTAAGTCGAACTACATTTTAAATTTTACATTTTCGTTTTAAATAGGTCCAAACTTTGCGAAGGACTACTGATGTCATATTTTCTGAAGTGATTATTCTATTGGCAAATGGTCCTCATAACCTGCAAGGAGGTTCATCAGGTATATACTGAATGGGTTTCGATATCAAGTAAATTCCATGGATGATCGTCGAGCCACACAAAATTGTGGTGTAGCTTTGAAGGTAGATACCATAAGTTATGCTGGTCGGAAAGACAAGAATCCTTCTATGGGGTCTGTATACTATTATCGACAATTGGCAGATATTGTTGAGATTCGATATTCCAATGAGAAGAAACATGTGTTGTTTAAGTGTGATTAGATTGACAACATTCACGGAAAGAAAGAAGATGTCTTCAATTTCACGTTGGTGAACTTCAATCATTTGTTGTACCGAGATGATTGAATTACCAATGAACCTTTCATCTTGGCGTCCCAAGCAAAGCAAGTTTGGTATGTTGCAGACCCGTTACAACCAGACTGGCAAGTCGTGGTGAAGATGTCTCAAAGAGGTTTATTTGATATGAGTTTGACTGATTCACAAATCAAGCCATATATGAGCCAACAATTGGAAGAAAATATAATGCTTCGTGATGAAAAAGTTGGTTGGGTGAGGGAAGCCGCAGAAGGGGAAACAGTTGACGTTCAAATAGGCTGATATTTAATCAACATTAGTAATTCAATTAAGGCAAAGGTTGTAGTTAATCATCAATTTCTTAATTTACTTTGTCTTTGTAATTGTATTAGTTCAATTAATGTCATATTATAGTTGATGACAACCCATTGTCTATGTTTCTAATGTCAATTAATGTTATATTGCTTGCAAATTATTATGGGAAGGAAGAGGAAACCTGATCATCCTCGGCGCATGATGTCTGATGTGATACGTAAGAGGACATCAGCGACACCACCATCAGAGGAGGCATCACATCGGCCACTATCGGAGGGGCCTTTCTGAAATCATGTGAGGATACCATGTACTCAGCCTCCACGCCTACCATCGGTGCGTCCACCATCAGTGGCACTACAGCAGCTATCCTCCCGACTAGAGTCATCATCTTATAAGCCATCCGCAAGTATATAAATTTCCTTTGATTTGTATGAAAATTATTTAAACATACATTTATTTATTCTCATTATATATAACTTGTTTATTCTCATTGTATTTTGCAGACCCTTCGACTTCTTCACAGCCCACCTCAGGTATAAGAATTCGATTTGTATTCACATTATTTAAATTTGCATTTGTTTATTGTTATTGTATCTCGTAGGTCATGTTAGTTCTTCATCAACCTCGACTAGGTGTGGTAGAGGATGTGCCAAGGGCATTAGGGAGTGGGGTACTGGTACAAAGCTAGATATACAGTTTGATGAAAATTACTGCCCAATAGGGGATAACGTGTCTAAGTTAACTACTCAACTTGGCATTATTGTGCGGAATGGTAACATTGTTCCTCTTACTTTTCTTGATTGGAACAATGTGCCTGATGATATTGTTGATGCTATCTGGAAGGATGTGAAGGTAAAAGTATATTTTTGTCCAAAAATTTGAATTCCAAAATTGTGTTATTATTATTTAAACTTTGAAATTGTGTTTTATAGAACAATTTGAATATATGTCCAGAGGAGTACAAGCCAATCTGCATGAAAAACTGCAACAACATATGGAAAGATCACAAGAACAAGATTAAGGCTAAGTATTTCAAGCCTAGAAATTCTGATCCTAATCTGAAGGATGATGTTCCTTGCACATTGTGCCAAGCCAGTGGGAAGAACTTGTGGAGTATTGGTGTACTTCCGATGCTAAGGTATACAAATAAGTTACATGTATGATATGTAAACATACAAATCATATTTACATACTTACATTTGTTGACCTGCTATAGAAAATTGCAACTAGGAACGCTAAAAATCGGCGAGCTCACGCATAGCGATCCCGATTTTCCCTTTCGTGCTTAACTATAATCCGGA